GCCAGGTATTTATAAATAGCTGTGGATGGTGCACAAATGGATGTGCCAGTTTAGTACTTTGTAATGGCTGCTTGGAATCACAGGATGCTAGAGGAAGGCTTTTGCCTAAGTTATTGTTGTTGTTAGGTGCCTTCGAGCTGATTCCAACTCATAGCAACCCTAGGCACAAGAGAATGAAAACACCGCCTGGTACTGTGTCACCCTCACAATCATTGTTATGCTTGAGCCCATTATTGCAGCCACTGGGTCCATCCATCTCATTAAGGGTCTCCTTCTTTTTCACTGACCCTCTACCAAGCATGATGCCCTTCTCCAGGGACTGGTCCCTCCCGACAACATGTCCAAAGTACGTAAGACGAAGTCTCGCCATTCTTGCTTCAAAGGAGCACTCTAGCTGTACTTCTTCCAAGGCAGATTTGTTCGTTCTTCCAGCAGTCCATGGTATATTCTATATTCTTCGCCAACACTATAATTCAAAGGCATCAATTCTTCGGTCTTCCTTATTCATTGTCCAGCTTTCACATGCATATGAGGTGATTGAAAACATCATGGCTTGGGTCAGGCACACGTTAGTCCTCAAAGTGACATCTTTGCTTTTGAACACTTTAAAGAGGTCTTTTGCAGCAGATTTACCCAATGCAATATGTTGTTTGATTTCTTGACTGCTGCTTCCATGGGCGTTGAAGGATCACATAATTTTGTCTCAGTTGATCACATAATTTGGGTTCTTGAGAAATGCATTTGCTGGGCATCCTCTCTCCACAAATGGACAGGTCACTTCCACCACTGAGCCTCCCAGCTCTCTTTGTATATTACAGAAAGAGCACTGGGTTCAAAGTCTGAGGACTGGTTCCTTTCTCTACCTGTGTCCCTTTCTCACTGAGCTTCTCAGCTTCTTCATCATTAAACTAGGAATTATTCCACATTACAAGATTGTTACAATTACTGTGAGGATAAAATGAAATAATGGATGTGAAAGGAGCTTTTAAAAACACTAAATGCCACCAAACGTCAGGTAATAATATCCTCAATAGCATTCGTGCCTCTATAACGGCATTTACTAGATTCTAGCATTATAGTTCTTTGCCTATGCCTCCTTGGACGCTGTCCTCCTCACCCCCAACTAGGCTGAGAGTTACTTCAGGTGGGCTGAGTCTTACTTTTATCTGTGAAACAAAACAAAACCAAACCCATGGCCGTCAAGTCGATTCTGACTCATAGCGACCCTCCTATAAGTCACAGTACTTTTTACATGTTGTTATTAGCTGCTGTTGAGTCCGCCCCCAGCTCAAGGGGATCCCATGCACAACGGAAAGAAATGTTGCCCGGTCCTGCACCATCCTGGTGATTGGTTGGGGATTGGACTGTTTGATCCATAGGGTTTTCATTGGCTGATTTTTGGAAGTAGATTTCCAGGCCTTTCTCCTAGTCTTAGTCTGAAAACTCCGCTGAAATCTTTTCAGCATCATAGCAACATTTGTGCCTCCAGTGACAGATGGGTGGTGGCCGTGACCTTTTACATAGTACTTGCTAAACTGATCACTTTAAAACTACTATTGTCTTGGTCAAACTTCGTTTTTTTCTACCACTGTGAAAAAATTCCAATTGAGAAAAATCTCAAGTGATTGTGCCTTTTCTTTCTTTCCTTCTTTTAAATTCTTTATTAACAACCAAAGAGAATAAGAGGCACAATGCATGTTTACCAAAGACCCACAGAATATTTTTATTGTACTCTTTTAATTAATTCACTTTTAGATGAACGAAATGTAAGAAATGTCACAAACTGGAAAGAGTCGAAGAACCAAGTTTCATGAAATCAGTTTATTATCGCTGAGGGGAAATGAGAGAAAAATAGAACGAATCTATGAATTGCTTATTTAAGTCCATATTGGGGTGTTTTTGGTCCCTTCTAGGATTTCCTGGAGTCCTGTAGACTGTTATTCACCATCCACATAGGCATATATAAAAATATACCATCTATAAATAGCCACCTGCCTTTTCAGTGAAATTAAAGATGGGAGAGTAAGATTTTCCCAGTATAATTACAGAGCTCAAACCTATAGCTGTCGTCCTCCTATAGTCCGACCAAGAGAATTTCTAATACCACTATTTTATATCAAGCACATTTTAAAAATTCAATTTTTTTTCTTTAATGGTAAGATGTTGTCAACAGGACATTTATTTATTTATTGCAAAAATTTCTCACATACCTACTTAAAAAGATTAGGTGTTGCATGGGGTTGTTTCATAGACTAGTTTTGTTTTATAAAGATTTTCACAAATGTTTCTGCTTCTTATCTAGGGAATAACACCAAACTCCTGCCAATGTTTTCTTAAACTATACACATGCCCTTTCACAAACACTCTCCTTCACATATTTTCTATTAAGACGTACCTCCTTAAACTTATCCCTGAGCTTCTAAAATTCTTAGGTAAGAATCGACTGCGTACTGCCGTAGCACAATGTGAAAGGAATTAAATGGAACACTTTTATCTTTGCTTACAAAAAAGCAGGTAATAATGTATTCATATACAGCCTTTGTTCCTCACTAAAGGCTAACACTCTTCAATCTTTGAGAGACTTGAAGGACAAGGCAGGGCTGATGAGAGGAAGGGGACCCGTTTACAGGAGCGGTTACACAGCTTTCCCAGTAGAAGGGTCTAAGTGTCTTTAGCAGTTAATTTGTGAGCAAAAACCCCGTTGGGAGCCTTCCACCTACTCTAAAAGCAAACATTCTTAACAGGCGGTATTAGTGTGGTGTTAAGAGAGGCATGCATGCTTTCACCTAAAAGGTGTCATTTTATGAGCAAAAACTGGATAAATCTTGAGAGACTTGAAGTCGGTATTTTTTTCCTTCCTCAATGCCAAAATTTTCACAGGTTAAGATGACCTCACACCCATTGTGATGTTCAAAACCCAGAAGGATCATAAAGGAAAGCTGCTTTGCAGAGTGAATACTCCGGTAGGGGCTTCCTCCTCCTGGGGAGAACTGTCTGTCACTGGTTTTCATTCCTTGAGTTTGTAAAACACACCAGCCATGTGTGTGAGCCTGTTAATTAAAACAAAAACAGAACTGTTTCTGTTGAGTGTTAAAACTACAGAAATTTAGGGCTGAAGCAGGGAAGGAGAATGAGCAGTACCCAATCTGCTGCTGGGTCTCAACTGCTGCCAGACAACGAAGAGACTGTATTACAAAAAGCCAGGAAACAGGCACCTGAATTAAAGAGGTGAGTGAAAAATTCTATCAAGGCTTGGAACTGGAATTATTAGAATGCCTTTGGCATTTCCCTGAGGGATTGTTGAATATCAAATTATCTGAATAGCGAAGGTATCTCTGTCACATCTGATTCCAAAGTTAGCCTTTCCTAAAAGAGGAAAGAATAGCTTCAGTGGCTTCTGAGGCCATTCCCAGTCAGGCATGGAGTCTATTCCTGCTGGATCTGCTGAGTCACTGCCACCTCGGGGAGTCACTTGACCTCTGGTTCAGTTTACCTAGAAGGCAGAGTGAAGCCTTCAGCTGCGAAGCCTCTGCAGGCAAGTCCTCTGCTATCATCTGGAACCATCTACTGACTTTTCTGCTACCTGAACCCAAACCATTTAAGTATAACAATTTAGATAAGGTACATTAGAATACAAACACACCAATCATTTAGAACCGAAAACAACTCACTAAATTCTTCCCAAAGAAAACATCACCAGAAAAGCAGAAAACACCAAAAATATTTTCTAGTTCTCTTGCTAATATGGACTTCATCTAATGGTAGTAAAAACAGGATCGAAAAACAAACAAACCAAACCCGGTGGGATGACCCCATGTTTCTGGGAGCAGAACTGCTCCCTAGGATTTTCTTGGCTTTAATCTTCACAGAAGCAGTTCACCAAGTCTTTCTTCCGCATGGATAAGACAACACCTCTCTAAAAGAAATGTTTATTCTGTACCTTCAGTAAGTCATCCAAATCAGACTATGAAAACGCTTAGGGTGTGTGTGGGTGGTAGTAGTGGGTGAGGTGGAGGGGTGCAGACAGAAAGCAGCAACAGCAAAGAAAAAAATTAGGACAGTTAAAGCATTCATTACACTCTGTATTTTAAAAGGCAGGGGAAAAAAAGACTTCAATACTATATCACATTCTCCTCAACGGGGGACACAACCAAGTGCCTCTCTACACCTTCTTTCCATAACACTTTGGCTTAATGAGATATAGGAACAGCAAACCAAAAAAAATTCACCTCTGTATTTTTTAAAAAAATTTATTTGTGATCTGTACATGTGATAAAGTGGGGCTTCACTGCAGACCTTTAAAGGCAAAACAAGACAAAAATCCAAAGTAAAAATGTATAAATACAATATATATTTTCTTACAAAAAAGGGAGATTTACAAAATATACATACTGCACTTGTCTCTATTTTACAATTTTCACATGCACTTAAGCAAAACAACACAAAAGATGCCAAAAACCTGTGTCGTCAGAGTTTTAAAAATCCGGCAGATGAGACAATTTTGGAGCTTTAGGAAACATGTCAATTTTAACCTTAATATCAAAAGCAGTTCCACTCAGCTGAACGTTACATATATAAAGTAACTTGTAGTCCTTCTCTATGGTTGGTATTTTAAAACTGTTCTGAGAAACAATATAGTGTGGTCGAGATTGCAGACTGGAGGGCAGCAAGAAGGGTGGAGTAAAGGTTAGTTCCCATGACTCTCTGCTCAGCTTTAGACCATAATGCAAAAGAATCAGTTTTATTACAGAAAAAAAAGTATATGATTTAAGATTAATAAATTTAAGTCATCCAGCACATTTCAAAGAACTCCAGAATTACTTTGAATTTTACCTTCTTTTAATGATTTTCCTTAAAAATGGGGCCCATAGTTCCAACTTTCCTCTTCATTCACTATCACCATCTCTGCAGATCACCTTCCCACCCAACCACAAAGACAGGGTCAGCATACACGTGTTTTGCAAACAGATGTATGGAACTAAGAAAACAGGACAAAACGGTTCTTTACTTTTTTTTTTAAATTTCCTTTATTATAAGGCTGAAGGCATTATGCTTTTCCTTTTATCTTGAAGGATTCAAACTGGAGGAAGAAAAAAAAAAGAAAACCTAAATACAGGCCTATAGATATTTAAAAAAAAAAAAAAATGGAGAAATTTCCACGACCATTTTAACCAATCGTGTTCTGAATTAAATTTATTTAAAACAAAACCCAACAACCAAACCTCTTCCATTTTCTTTAGCCAAGTCAGAACCTCTGACTTAGTAAAGTATGAAAGCACACTGTCCTTCACTTTTCCTTAAAAAGGAATGTTTACCTCAACCAAATTAACATCCAAAGGGAAACCTCAGATTTGTGCTTCTTTGCCTATAAAAGTTGCTGTTTTCACAGTTACGCCTTTCCACAGGGGGACACTTTTGTTTTCTCTTTTGTCTCTTACAACAAAGACGGGGGAAAATGCATTCCTGTTTTGAAAAGCAACAAGTCATCACTCCTTTCCAGGGTATTAAACCCAATAAAACACCATTCTTTCTTCTGCCTTCCCCAGAAAATTAAAAAGTAGCAGAAATACCTACGACTTGTCTCCTCTGTCTCATCTCGAAATATTATCATTTCTTTCGCATCCCCACATTAGGATTCTAGGAGGCAGGCCTCCCAAGACTTCCAAATGCTGATTTTACAAGACTTGAAAGGGCTGGGGGAGGAAAAACAGGCGGGAGGGGGCCCGGAGGAGAGACTGTAACGTCTGACCCTGGAAATTAACCCATCTGGGCTCCAGTTTGGCCCCAGTGAAAAGAGATTATGGTTTGACCACCGCTTGACAAGGACACCGCAGGGAGTCCTCCCTCTTCCCAACAAAGAGGCCGCCGCAGACAGAGCTGTACCTTTCACCCGGGCCTCACAGGCGTGAGGACAGGCCACTTTCCATGCAGCGAAGGAACCGCTCACGGCTCCATTGCAGCCCCTGCGCCGGGAAGAACTCGCAGCAGTCTCTGCAGCTCTGTTTTCTCGATAGGCCCCACAATCGGCCCGTACCTTACATGATTAACATCATCATATCGTCACATCAAGATTCTGCAAGTCTTTATGCCAGAAATCTATTCACCTAACCCGCCTTTCCACCCAGGCCTCCTTTCCCAACCCACCCTGGGCCCCAAATCTGCAACTGACTTCTCTCTTCCAGGTCACATTGCTCAGTGGCGGCGGCGGAGGTTACAGACAGAAACCCCCCACCCAGCAGTTCTGTTCCTACCGCGCCTCTCCCCCTGCCAGGGGGTGAGGGAAGGGGTGGGGGAAGGGCCAGGGCTCATACCGCAGTCTCCCCCTTGCTGCTGTGGCTGAGTCTGTGGTAGAAACGGCGCCACGACTGCAGGGTCTTGCCCGACCAGATCCAGAAGCCAGTGGTGATGCCCACGATCATGGTCATTAGGTACTTGATCATGAAGACGGTGAAGTCGGGGCTCATGGGCGGAAAGTGGCCGGGCGGGCAGGGCACGGCGTAGCTCTTGCACGTTTGCAGGAGCCAGGTGCGCTCCCAGTGCTCGCGGAAGGCCTGCTCGTAAAAGTAGCAGGCCAGCACGATGGTGGCTGGCACCGTATAGAGCACGCTAAAGACGCCGATGCGCACCATGAGCTTCTCCAGCTTCTCGGTTTTGGTGCCGTCGTGCTTCATGATGGTGCGGATGCGGAAGAGAGACACGAAGCCAGCCAGCAAGAAGGACGTACCGATAAAGAGGTAGACAAACAGGGGTGCCAACACGAAGCCCCGGAGCGCGTCCACGCTCGACAGGCCCACGTAGCACACTCCGCTGAGCAGGTCCCCGTCCACCTGGCCCATGGCCAGAATGGTGATGGTCTTGACGGCGGGCACGGCCCACGCGGCCAGGTGGAAGTACTGCGAGTTGGCCTCGATGGCCTCGTGGCCCCATTTCATGCCGGCCGCCAGGAACCAGGTGAGCGACAGGATGACCCACCAGATAGAGCTAGCCATGCCGAAGAAGTAAAGCACCATGAAGAGGATGGTGCAGCCCTCCTTCTTGGTGCCCTGCGCCACCGTGCGGTAGCCATCATCCGAGAAGCGCTCCACGCACACGGCGCGGTCCTCCAGCAGGAAGCCGGCCACGTGTGCCAAGGCCACCATGAAGTAGCAGCCGGACAGGAAGATGATGGGCCGCTCAGGGTAGCTGAAGCGCCGCATGTCCACCAGGTAGGTGAGCACCGTGAAGAGCGTCGAAGCGCAGCACAGCACCGACCACACGCCCACCCAGAGGCGGGCGAAGCGCCTCTCCTCCTCCTTGAAATACATGAGGCCGTTGGCGCGGCCCGGCTCGCACGGGGCACCGCAGTCGCGCTCGCCCAAGAAGCGGTAGCCCAGGTAGGGGGGCACTTTGAGCTGTCGAGGGCACGAGAAGGGGAAGGCGGCGCGGCCCCTGCCGTCTGCGGCCCCCGGGGACAGCGCGGTGAAAGGCAAGTCGGGCAGGTAGGGCGCGGTGGGGTAGGCCGTGGGGCCGCCGCCGGGGCCCCCGGAGCCGTCCGACGTGTTCTGGCCCACGCAGATCTCGCCCGCGCCGTGCACCGGGAAGTTCTCGCAGCGCAGCCGCTCCGGCCACTGGAAGCCGAACTTGTTCATGAGCGCCTCGCAGCCCTGGCGGGCGCGCTCACACAGAGAACGGCACGGCGGGATGGCCTGCTCGAGGACGGTGCACACAGGCGCGTACATGGAGCACAGGAAGAAGCGCAGTTCCGGCGAGCACTGCACCTTCACCAGCGGGTAGAACTGGTGCACCTCGAGGCCCGCGTCCTCTTGGTTCGTGTGGCCCAGCAGGTTGGGCAGGATGGTCTGGTTGTAGGCGATGTCCGTGCACAGCGGGATGGAGATGGGCTGGCAGAAGCCGTGGTCTGGCACCGAGATGCCCTTCTCGCCGTGGTACGGCTGCGCCCCGGCGCCCGCGGGCAGCGCGCCCAGCAGCGCCAGCACCAGGGCGCATAGGCCCAAGAGTGAGCGCGGCGCGGCCGCGCCCGGGCCCCGCATCGCCAGCCGCGGGGGTGCAGCGGCGCTCTCAGCCGGAGAAGCGCGACGAGGCGGCTGGGAGAGTCTTGGATCCGCGGAGGCAACGCCGCGCCCGGCGCATGAGAATCCTCCCGGCGCCGGGGCCGGGCCGTGGGCGGCGCGGAGACCAGAGAGCTGCCGCCGGGGTGCCTGCGCCGCGGGGGCGAGGCCGCCTGCTGCGGGGGCGTCGCAGTCGTCTCCGCCCAGCACTCGTCCGGCCGCCTGGGCCAAGGGCGCCGAGAGAAGCTGCCTTACCCTCCCTGCCGAGACGTAACGGTGCGGCTTTCTCTGTGGCGAGGAGCAACAAGCGTCTCCGGTTACCCTTCAAAGTTTGCCCAAGTCTCTGGACCCCCAGCGCACAGTAACGCGCACGCTCCCCACACCACGTCCGTCCCCGCCAGGCGAGAGCCCGGCGCCGCCGCCTGATCTCGGGGGCCGCCGCCTCGGCGCTGCTGCTCCGCCTCCTCCTCCTCCTTCGCCTCCTTCTCAACTCTCTGCTCCTTCTTCAGCCCCAAAAGGTCGGCCCCAAGTTTCAGCCAAACGGCTGATTCTCGCTAAGAGTCCGATCGGCGCCTTGGAGCCGAGAGCTCCGCAACTTCTTTTTAGAACTCCTGTTACACTGCGTCCGAAGCTGCGAAGCCCCCGCGCCTGCGGCCTGGCCCGGCCTCTCCAGCCCCGCGCAGCCCTCGTCCGGCCGCCGCCGCCGCCCGCCGGGAGGAGCGCCGAGTAACGCCTCGGAGTCGCGCAACTCCGCAGAAAAACCTTTCGGCTCACAGGGATCCAGGCCGCCCCGCCCCCTCCCTCTCCCCCCATTCACAAACCACTCCGGGGCGGGACCTCGAGTCCCCGGGCGACCCAATGGCAGCCTTTGTTTTCTCTGGAGTCGCCTTCGGATTGGGTGGAAGTCGGAAGGGGCGGGAGAGGGAACGTGGGAGGCGGTGTCTGCAGCGCTTTGGGCGGATTCCTGAGGGGAGGAGCGGGGGTTGGGAGGAAAAAGTTAGAAAAAACTTTTACTCTGAATTCTCTGTGGGGGGAAAAACGCACCAGAAAGGGAATTTACTTGAAAGATTTGTTCTTCTTCCGGCTACACTAAAATACGCATTCCTGAGCCGAAGGGGGCATTCGTGAAAAGGGTTTTGAGGGGAGAAGCTGAAAATAGCGCAGCGCCTCGGAGAGAATTGACTCGGAGTCACGTTTGCTGCCCGGCCAAAAAATGCTGGCTTTAGCTGGGGGTTTTGGGTAGCCGATGTCTTTAATGTGGGGTTTGGTACGAGGCGAGAAGTGGTGCGCCTTGCGGGTCGCTTTTCTCTCCCAGACTCAAGCAGACCACGTGAGGCCACAATATCTCGCCTCCGGGATTCCCCAGTTCTAAAGAGGAAGAAGGGCTGCCTCGGTGGAGAAATCAGATTCGGGCAGAGGGGCCGACTTAGGCGCGAGGGAGTGCAGAACCTTCGGCGAGGACTGGGCCCGGGGGTTCCCGGCCCCCCGCCACCCTGCCAGCCCACACGGCCCAGGGGCTGGGTTGCTGGTGTGGCTCTAGCGAGGTTATAAGAAGACTAGGACAGTGTTTGAGAGAAATAGTTATAAAAGTAACCTGAGACCGAGTGCCGAGGAGCATTGTACGATTTAAACCGCGTCTTCGACTGCCCTGTTTTCCTAAGTTTGCGACGTGTGGCCGTTTGGGATCCTATCTTCGTTGCAAGAGCAATTATTTGACCCTCCTTTTGGAATCTTGCGTAGGAAAGTTGTAATGCGTGTTATAAATAGGGCCAGCTGCGGCTGCTAATTAAGGAGTTTTCAAACCACAAAGAGGGGTTATCCTCGTTCTGGGGTAGCGTTTTCTGATTGGCAAGCGTTCCTTTGTTCTTGGTCACATCTTTGCCCCGCTCCAGGCGCTGGGCGCTCGCGCGCGCTCTCGGGCTATCCCCGGCAAGGTCAGAAGTTACCGGGGGCTTCTCTCCTCTCACCTCCCTGCGTAGCGAGAAATACCATGAATTCCCATGTAGGAAAGTGACATGTTGAGAAAGGAAGGAGAAATCAGTCTCTTTCTCTGTTGCGCGCGCGCACACACACACTCACACACACACACACACACACACACAC